TTTAAATATATTTAATATCATTAAATTAAAATTGAATCCTCACAGATAAATTGGACGTATGATTTTGAATATAATTCTCATACTTACTAGGTGTAAAGTTGATAGACATAGATGCATTAGTACCGCGCACAAAAATACATGTTTCATCGGACGTACTACATTCGGAGATTACCACTTTTGTGAATGTACCTAATGTTGAACCTAAGATAGAAATATGAAAACTATATTAAAGCATAAATATATTAAATAAAAATTAGATAACAAATAATAATATATTAAATATACTGGAAATATACGTATATATTAAATAAATTTAAAAAATAGACTGCTCTTTAATTTTATAATGATTGGGTTATATTCAATTTTATTTATATAAATTAATAAATTAAAAATTTTCAAGAAAAATCATTAAAATAATAAAACTGATTAAATTTTGTAATTATAAAATAGGTCAAATTTTGTTATATTTTAATTATAAAACAATTTAGTAATAAAATATTAGATAATAAAATTTCAAAAATTTTAATTACTTAATATTCACTAACAAAATTTCATTAAATTTTATTACAATTTCTAGTAGATGAATTCTTCTTATATAAAATATTTTTTATCATTAGATAATAATATTATACTTGTGTAGATAGCACCAACAATACATTCCATACTTTGTCCTGCATGCTTTGTTACTATCTCTGACGATAACTCAATTCTTGTATAAAATAAGCTTAAAAGGTGGAGTCACCATTTATTTCTCAAGTAAACGATATGCGTCACACACATCATTAAATTCATTCTTTGATGAAATGATAACTACATTATGAACTGATAACATAATCAGACTTTCACAATAACAAACAAAACGTGGCACGCCACTTAGTCATAAAAAATGACATATTTAATAAAAACTTTGTTGCATATTAATAGTAAGAGATTTTCTTGCTATTAATATGCAATAAATTTTTCTTTCAAAATAAATTAGCTACCCACTAAAAAATACATACTAACAATATTACATTAATATAATAATTTTCTATTCAATATAAATGTAATATTGTACACAACAATTACATTAATGAATTATAACATTCGTATAATGTTACTATATACTTTCAGCTATTCATATTTCCTTTCAAAATAAAAAAATAAAATATAAAGAATATAAAATAGAAATACAAAGTAAATTATTTTTAATGTGAAATAGGAATAATAATGAATAGCGCGCAAGAATGTGTATCGTTATTATGAATGCATCGTTATTATTATTTCGCTGTAAAATCATGAAGTTTATTTAAATGAAGTTTATTCATCAATATGGATATAAAAAGCGTTTATAATAAAAACGATAATAAATGCGATAATAAATGTGTTTACCACAACAAATATCTTTTAACATCAACGAAAAACATATAAAAAAATTTCAAATATCAACACGTAAATCTATTATATTGTCGAAACCTGAACTGATTGAAATTGGATCTACTTGGCTTTCTTAAACACACATATACACCTTCCTGCGCACTATCTACAACGGATGCTTCTAGGTTTTGAAGGCAAACAAAGAAAAAATAAATTTTAGAAAGCATCACTAATGTCCATCTTTATCAATGTAGATAAACTTTAATCTGGTTTAATTTACTTTTTATCTTTTTCTAGTTTTAAGAATGAGATAAAGAATAAGTTAAACCGATTAAAATTAATCTATATTAGTATAAATGTAACATAAAAATAATATTTTCTTCCCTTCTTACAATAGATTCTTTTCTGGTATTTCTTAAAACAAACAGAGCATTCCTTTTAAAACATGCCTCCCTTTCAACATCTTTTGGATCGAACTTTTATAATTTTTAATACTTCATATACCATTTTTAATATGTATTTATATAACATAATAAATCTTTAAAGATTCAGTGCTTTTTTAGCAATACCTATTATCATCATTACAATTAATAATATTTATTTATTAATTTAACTTTGCATATTATACTTTTATAATTATAATTTCAACTTTCTATCTAAAGAAGGAAGTTATTAAAAAGTGATCGAATTTGGCCTCACAAGTGTAAATAAAATAAATATCTAATAGTTTTTTAGTGATTCTTTAATCTCTGCATATAATAATAAAATTATTAAAAAGTGGCATTTCATGGCATTTAAGACAACATCTCGAGCCAAAATTTAAAATTGTATATCATATTCGTGTTCAATTTTCGAGATATTTTCCAAACGCCACGAAGTTTTTAATAACTTTATTATCATATGCAGGAGATCAAAAAAATAAACACTAAAAAATCATTAGGTATTCCTTTAAATAAATAATGTTTTCGAGTCAAAATCTACAAAAAATACTGTTCTTTTCAAAGTTAGCAACGTTATCTTATAAAAATAACTCTTTACCATTCTTTTTCCAAAAAGGAATTCATCATTACTCATTAATGATTTGTAAAAATAACTTATTTATACCGTTTCCGTAACTCAACATACAATGAGTCATTACTTTTTCATTACTTTTTTTTACACTTATAGATTATAATGTTTTTCATTGACACCTCAGTGCACATTAAAATCGTTATACACTTCTCTAATCTGAATGTAAAAAGATATTTCAATTGATAAAATGCCAAAGTATATTTTAAAAAGCAAATTCAAATAGCATAATATTGGGTTGCTGGAAAGTTCGTGCCGATTTTGAAGGAAAATTGAAACTCAGAAGATTTAAATTTTAGTATACATTTATTAAATTTAAATCTTTTGCAGCACGAACTTTGCGGACAACCCTATAAAATGTATTAAGAATTTCGCGATTTTTTTTAACTGGTTCCTATATGTTTATTAAACACATCTTTACGTTGATTTGTGTACAACGCTTAAAAGTGTATTAAGTTCTGCCAATGAAAAACATTACTATATACAGATTTTTGCAGTAAACAT